CAAGGTACAAGGTTTGTTGCAAGAATTGTCTATACCTGCTAAAGGAGAACCTGAAGAAGAAAATGATAGTGAAGAGGGTGGGGGATCTATTTCACAAAATTTGGCTCGATTATATAAAAAAGCAAGTCTCGCAGAAAAACGTGTCATGAAGGCCAAACAAGATGAAATTTTGTGTTGGTATCGATTCGCAGAAAGCTTTGAAAAAAGAGTCAAGGAGATCATGAATAGTAATAGCAGGCTTAATGATCAACAAGCTAGAACCCGAGTATATGAAGAAGTTGCACAACATTTATCTGGCTTTACAAAAAATAGTTTACGTAAGAAGACCGCCAAAGCTAGGAATATCTATAAGTTGTTTGGACGGAACCGTCACCTCACATCTCGTGAAGAAATTAGAGGGATAGGAATGTCAAAAATCAAGCGAGTTAAATCATATAGTGCGGATTACATTTCAAAGCTAACCTCCACACAAATTCATAATATTATAGAACATTTCTCCAATGCCGATCGCATCCCCTTGAGTTGACGCCAACGTGACCATCACGTGCTTACTGCGCCTATTAATATATATGCTATGAATAGTAGTGAAAAAGATTCTTTGATAATCAATTTATATGTAGTTTCTGCATGTATAAAGCATTTAATAAAATATTTTTAACTAATGTATGCTGTATGCAGGTGGTGTGACGTTACTTTATTGCAAAACTCGCTAAAAATGTGCACAAAAATATGCTAATCACTCCTGATATGATATACATCACGTGAAGCGCCTCTGGCTAAACCCCCTGTTAATCATGAGAGATCTACAAACCAAAAGTGATGGGAGAGCGCCAGAGACTAACGAGGTGCTGGAAAGGAGTCAGGTGTATCATAATACAATGATAATCATGTTGTGTATATTGTCTCGGATCTAATTTAACTGAATCAAAAAAATCAGATATAAATCCATTTCCATCCCAAAGTTAATCGAACAAAAATGAATCTGATATTTTATTATCATATACTTGCTATAAATCACTATAAGTCATTAAAATTGGTAAAAAAACTATAAATCACTAAACTGCTATCCTATATCCGTAAAATGGTTAAAACTAACTATTCTGGTTTAAATCCTGTAATAATGCAGGCGTTAAATAATTTACAATATAGATATAGTGGTGAAACACCAGAAATGTGGTGTTCTCGTGTTCGTTATCCATTCAAGAAACTTCTCGAATA